TTAGTTGAAGAAAGCATATAACTGAAGTCTTTTGTTATAGAAGGGTTTAATGAATTATCAAAAGCTTCATCAAGAACTTCATTAAATGCTAAATCTGTTGAAATTGATTTTTTTCTTCCTGGAATAAAAGATAAAAATGATTCTAACATTTTTGTAAAAGAATTTTCATTCTCGATTATTGAACGTCTTAATAATTCTTCTTCAACTTTTGTTAAAGCAACACGTTCACGGAATTCAATAGATCCTATTTCTTTTGAAGGAGCTTGTTGAAATAAAATAACTGTTTCAGCTAATGCTTGTTTTAAAAAAAATCTTGAAATAATTAAATCAATTAATCCATGATGTAATAAATATTCAGCTGTTTGAAAATCTTTTGGTAATTGTTCTTGAAGTGTTTGAGAAATAACTCGTCGTCCAGCAAAACCAATAAGTGCACGAGGTTCTGCATAAATTAAATCTCCTAGCATTGCAAAACTTGCAGTAACTCCTCCTGTAGTAGGTGATGTTAAAACTGGGATATATAAAAGTTTTGCTATATTTTGATGACGATTTAATGCTGCAGAAATTTTAGCCATTTGCATTAAACTTAAAATACCTTCTTGCATACGAGCACCACCAGAAGCACAAAAAATTACTAAAGAAAGGCCTTTAATTGTTGCATATTCAATTAAACGAGTTAATTTTTCTCCAACAACAGAACCCATACTACCACCCATAAAATGGAAATCCATCATTCCGAGTGCTAAAGGAATACCTTCTATAACGCCAGTTCCTGTTTGAACTGCATCTTGTAATCCTGTTAATTCTTGAGACTCTATTAGTCTTTCTGTATATGATTTTTGATCACTAAATCCTAAAGGATTGCCTGAAGACATTGTTTCATTTAATGGAGTCCAACTTTCTATATCAAGAAAGCGAGCAATTCGTTCAAAACTGCTCATTAATATATGATAATTACATCCTATACAAACTTTTTTGTTTACTTGTAAATGTTTTATGTATATAATAACACCACAATTTTCACAACGAGTCCATAAACCTAAATCTTTTTCAGCTTTAACATCTCTCTTATATTTAAGTGCACTTAATTTGATTAGATTCGGTATTTGTTGCTCTATTTTATTTTCAATTTCTTTTTTTTTCTCAAGTCGTTTATCTTTTCCCCAATCTAACCAAGAAAAAAAAGGAAATTGAATTTTTGGAAGTTTTGGAAGTGATGGGAGTGGCGGAAGTGGAAGTGCCATAAATTTAAATTTATTTAAATTTTAGATATATATATATATTTCTTATATATTTTTTTTTTTTAAATTAATAAATTATGCATTCCTCGATGCATTATTTAGTTATTTATATTTATTTAAAAAATCATTAATCCTGTAAATTAAAAACGAATGTTTATAGATTTAAGTGCGTTCTTCTAGTTATTTTTTAAATGAAAAATAATATTTATAAAAATATATATTTTTGCATTAAATTAAAATGATTCTTAATAGGTTTTACCGGACTTGAACCGATGACCAACTGCTTGTAAGGCAGTCGCTCTACCAACTGAGCTAAAAACCTATAAAATATAATATATATATACGTATATATATATTATATTTTATTAAAAAGAAGTTCGTAAAAGACCTGAACCTGCAGGAATTACTTGGCCTATAATGAGATTTTCATGTAATCCTAATAAAAAATCAGTTTTTTTTTGTAAAGCACTTCGAACTAAAACACGAGAAACTTCTTGAAAACTTGCAGCTAATAAGAAACTCTCTGAATATAAAACACTTTTACTAATTCCTAAAACAATAGGATCAAAAAAAGCAGGATTTTTGTGCAGAACTTGAAATTTATTATTTAATTTTTGAACAGTGTCAAATTGAAGAATTTCACCGGGCAAAAATCCAGTAGAGCCACTATTTAGTATTCTTACACGAGTTGTCATTTCTCTAACAATAATTTCAACATGTTTTTCTGCTAAAAAAACACCTTGATTCCTATAAGCTTCAATAATATTTTCAACTAAAAAATGTTGAATTTTAAAATTTGCTGTTTTATAAGCAAAAATAATATTTTTTATTATAAAAGATTGTGGCGTAAAGTCAAAATTTATATTATTTTCAAATAAGAGACCTAATGCATTTGTATAAAACATTTCTAATTTGTTTTGAACTGTTAAATATGTATTCTCTGTAGGTATCTCTCGTGCTTCAAAAAGCCGCTCTATTTTAGGAATTCCTTGTACAATATCTTGTGTTTCTAATCTTTTTGTTTTTAATGTAAAAAGGATTTGATTTTTCATTATTAAATTTTTATGAAAAAGAAAAAAAGCACTATCTTCAGGAGCTAAAAAAGAAAATCCTGAACGAAAAGTTAATTGATTTTTATTTATTTTTATGAGTTTTCCATTAAAATCAATTAAAAATTTGTTAAATAATTTTTGATTATATCGATAAAAATTTCCAATTTTAAATTTTTTATTAAATTTAATTAAATTTTTAGGCAGTTCTAAAGTTATTATATCTTTATGATCTAAATTGCTCCAAATTGTTTGATTGTTTTGTGTTTGTAAAGAAATAAATTCACCAAAATTTTGTGAAAATTTCAATACTGTAAATAATTTAAAATTTGGAAAAACCCACTCATTTTTATATAATAAGAGCTTATAATTTAATTTATTAAAAATAAAATCTTCTTTAGGGATAAAACTATAACATATTACTTGAAAGCTTTGTAATCTTTTTATTTTCTTTTTATTCAAAAATTTTTGAGTAGTATTATTAATATTAAAAATATATCCATTATATAATAAAATATCGTTTTCTGATGAATTTAAATTTAATTGTATCTTAACCAAATTATTTGAAAAACTCCATCCTTCTTTTAAAGAAGATTGAATAATGAGTTCTTGTTCAGGAATATATCTATAAAAATTATAAAAAAGTTTTTGTTTTGTAAAGACAGGTGAGTTTGTCTTTATATAAGTTTGAAAATTATCTTGATTTTTATGTAAAGAATATAAATTTTTTTTAAGTTGTAAATAAAGATTGGGTTGAAATGTTTTTTTATTTAATTTTTGAATTGAAACAAAGACTAAGCTTTTATTTTTTTTTGTAGTAACTATTTGTTTAAAAGGAGAAAATTTTAATATTATAGAATTGTTATTTTTTTTTAGTTTAAAAAACGATAAATTTTTATCTATTTGTTTTATAATTTTAAAATTATTTAAAAATTTTTTTGTTAAAGAAAATTTAAATAAAAATTCTTTATTAATTTGTAATATCTTTAATTTACTATAAAACCTATTTTCTAAGAGTTTTGGAGTATTACTTAAATACTTTTTAGAATATTTAAAAATAAAAAATTCTTTAGGAAGAAAATAATCTAAAGATATATATTGATGTTCTATTGATAAATTAGAAAAAATTGTATTTTTTAATAATACAATTTTTTTTGTCGATTTATTAAAAGAGCCTGGAATTAAACTATTTTTTTCACCTATAATAATGAAAACCCATGTTTTTTTATAACCAAGCACTTTACTTTTTCTTATTTTAAAAAATTTAGATTTAATCTTATTTACTGTATTAAAAAAAAAGTGATAATTCTGTTTTTTATGTAAATTAAAAATCATTTTTTTATCTTTATATGAAAAAGCAAGAAGATTTTTTGAATTATCAAATGTTAAATTTTTGGTTTTTTCATTTAAAGAATTTTTAAATAATATATTAAAGTTTTTATAAAAATTTGCAGAATATTTAATAATATTTACCTTATTTGAAATTTTTGAAATATTTTTTGCAAAATATAAAAATTGCTTTTTATTAATTTTGGATTTTTTTTCTATATTTTTAAAGAAAAAAAATAATATATCTAAATAAAAACTAGAATTTATAGAGACACATGACAAAGTTTCTATAAATAAATCTCCAATTATTTCAGCATTATTATTTTCATTTGAAGTAAATATAAAAAAATTTTTAAAATAATAAAAAAAATTATAATTTTTTAAACTAAAATCTTTAAAATATAAATTGAATTGAATATTTTGTTGATTAGCTTCATAAAAGCTCAAATTATTTAAAAATAAAATTGTTTTATTCTTATTATACGATGAAAAAGAATAAACATTTTTGTGAAATCTTACTAAATTATTTGGTAAATTGAAATTAAAATAATTAAAAATAAATTGTGATTTTATCTGTTTTATTTTTAAGAAAGAACAAGCTTTTATATAATAATTTATTTCAGTTAAAGGCGTTTGTGTTGAAATTAAATCACCTATACGTAAAAATGTATCTAAATTTTTTATTTCTTTTTGATTTTGAGCAAAAAGTAACCAAAAATTACTTATTTCATTTATAATGGGAATAACTGGAAAGGTTTCAAATTTAATATCATTAGATTCATTATTTGTATCAGAAATAAAAAATTTATTTCTATTTTCTGGATCTTGATAAACTAAACTTTTATTTTTTTTACTATTTAAATCGAAATTATTTAAATTTAGTTTTGTAGTTTGTTCTGATTTTATAATATTAATATATTCAAAATAAACTTCCCCGTCTTTTTTTGCCAAAACAGGATATAAAAATTCAGGTAATACCGAAGATTTTTTAATAGTTTGAGAAATTTGAATCAAAGTATCATTTATTTTTACACTTTGGCCTTGAGAGACCATTAATAAACTTCCCGGAGGTACTTGATATTCTTGTAAATTAAAAACAGACGTTTTTGATTTAATTTCTACTAAAATTCGTGTTGGTTGTATAGGATTATATTTAAGCAAATAACCAATTTCACCGTGTGATGTTCGGATTAAGAGCCCCGGTAATTTTTCTGGAAGATTTATAATTCCGTTAAAAGGAGCTTTATAAGTTGTCACAATTTCATCTGCAAAAACTCCTACACCACCCGTATGAAATGTTCGCATAGTAAGCTGAGTTCCAGGCTCCCCAATTGATTGAGCTGCTATAATACCAATCGCTTCACCAATATTAACTAAATCTCCTTTAGCTAAATCCCAACCATAACATAATTGACATACAGATTTATAATTATTACATGTTAAAGGAGATCTTATATAAATTTCATCTAAAATTTCATTTAATTTATTCGCTACACTTAATGAAATTATTTTATTTTTTTTTTCTGTATTTAAAAATTTTTCATAATAAGTAAATTTATTATCACTAAAAAAAAATGGAATAAATGAATTAATTTTTTGTTTATCTTCAATTTTAATAAAAGGATTTTTTATTAAAACTCTTCCTACTAATGTATTCGTATTAAAAATTTTTTTTACTGAAATACCTAAATTCGTTTTACAATCAATTTTAGAAATGATCATGTATTCTACAGCGTCGACTAATCTCCTAGTAAGGTAACCAGAAGTTGCTGTACGTAAAGCTGTGTCTACTAACCCTTTTCTTGCCCCAAAACAAGAAATTAAATATTCTGTTAATGTAATACCTTCCTTAAAATTACTTTTAATTGGAACTTCAACAATAAGTCCTTGTGGATCGGCCATTAAACCACGCATACCAACTAATTGTTGAACTTGGGATATATTACCTCTAGCTCCAGAAAAAGCCATTAAACCCAAAGAATTAAGAGGAATATTATTTCTAAAATTAGCAATAACATTTTCTTTAATTTTTTCGTTAGTTTTGTTCCATAGAAAAATAGTGTGTTGACTCTTTTCAATAAGGCTTACATTACCAACTAGATTATCAAGATCTAATTTTTGTGTAAAAATATTTGTATTTATAATAAAATCCTCTTTATTTTGTGGAATAACTAAATCATCTAACCCTAAAGAAATTCCAGTTTTATTCGCTTGATAAAATCCAAATTTTTTTAATTTTTCTAAAAAATCAAGAGTATAAAACTCTCCATATTTTTGTAGAAACCATTTGATTAATTGTTGAAGTCCTTTTTTATCAAAAGGAGCGTTTAAAAAAAGAATATCTTTTTTTTCCATATATATATTTAATATATGATTATTATAATTATTGGTTTCAATTTTTTGTAATTTCATAATATTTCTGTTAATAATTTTAAATTTTTAGATTAGTTCATAAAAAAAAAGACGGCCAGGTGTAGTACGAACATATATATATGTTTTAGTTGTAATCAATTTATATCGATCAGTTTGTATTGAGAATGTATTTCCAAAACAATCAACTTGTAATTCAATAGGGACTTCTCTAAGTTTAGACTCTTTAATATTTCCTATAGTTTGGAAAGGTTTACACAAAAAAAGCCAAATAGGTGTATGAATTTCTATTTGGCCAAATTCATACGCTTTTTTTACGTCACCAGATGTCTTATATAGCATTTTATAATAATTAGAAAATAATTTATTTAAATTTTTTCTTAAAGTTTGAATTTTCTTTTTTTTTAAAATAATTTTATATTCTTTTAATTTAAAAAAAAATGGAGTAAATGTTGTTAAGGAAACTGATGACGTTAAAAAATAACAACCTAAAACCATATCTTGAGCAGGCACTAATAAAGGTTGTCCTGAAGCAGGAGATAAAATATTATTTCTAGACCAAATTAATTGAAGT